GTGCGGCCGGCTCGGATTCCCTCCTACCTGCACTATTTAAGGATGGAGGTGAGGTCCTCTGCAAAACATTGACCTCCTTATTCGAATGTGTCTAGAAAGAAGAGACCGTCCCGGCTAATTGGAGCGAATCGATTATAGTGGCAATATACAAGAAGGGCAGTCACACAGACTGTCCTAAGCACAGGGGTATTAGCCTAACGCCAATTGTGACAAAATTATTGGCCTCGATTATCGTTCGTCGCATCACTGCGGAACAGCAATCTCGGATTAGGGAAGAGCAGGCTGGTTTCCGCCCAGGACGTGGCTGTATAGACCATATATTCACTTTGCGGCAGGTGCTAGAGCAGCGTCGCGCATACCGCAGACCGACAATAGCTGTGTTCCTCGATTTCAAGAGTGCGTTCGATTCAGTCGATCTAATAATAATAATAATGTGTCAGCTGTACGCCGTAACGGCGCTTCGCTGCCGCGTGACCACCACCAGTCGCGCGCGGGCTGAATATACCGCGAGGACGCCCACCCCTTCGCGGATCGATCGATCGATTCTGTTCGAACTACTTGCGCGGAAAGGTGTTCCCACGAAATATGTGAACATCCTTCGTGCTCTATACTCGAACACTACAGGCCGCGTCAGGGTCTATGGTGTCCTATCGGATAGCTTTCTGACCACAAGTGGCGTTCGTCAGGGTTGTCCGATTTCCCCGTTTTTGTTCAATTTCGTCGTGGATTCTATAATGGAGTGTTCCCTTGCGGAATCTCACAATGTAGGCGTTGAAGTGCTACCAGGTGAAAGGTTAGTCGATCTACATTATGCGGACGATATCGTCTTGCTTTTCGACGATGTTGCGGAGGCACGATAAACCCTGAATGGCCTGGCCAGAGTGGTCCCATTACTTGGTATGCACTTCGCATCTTCAAAGTGCAAAGTGTTGCTGCAGGACCACCAGCCACTTGATGACTCCTTGACGCTTGCTAACGAGGAACTCGAGGTGGTCGATAATTTCACTTATCTTGGCAGCTGCATCAGCAATGATGGGCGCATAGAAACTGACGTCAGCTCACGCATTGCAAAAGCCAGAGCTACCTCCATGAACCTACGTCATCTTTGGCGACAGAAGGGAGTTTCCCTCCGTCTGAAAGGCCGGGTATACAAGGCCACAGTGGGGGCCGTTCTGCTCTATGGTAGTGAAACTTGGCCCCTTCGGTCTGAAGATCTGAGGCGCCTGCAACTCTTTGATCATCGTTGTCTGCGAAGCATTGCTGGTGTCGGATGGCACCAGCGTGTCCGCAACGATGATATGCGTAGGCGAGTACTAGGTAATGATAATCATGCTAGCACCCTAGAACAACAACAGACAGCACTGAATAAGTTGCGTTGGCTCGGGCACGTGCTACGCATGCCTGGTCACCGCTTACCTAGGAGGGTCTTGTTTAGTCCGCCAGGTGTAGGGTGGCGCAAGGCTCGTGGTGGACAGAAGTTGATTTGGCAACGGGAAATGAAGACACTGACGACCAAACTGGGTGCCGTTGGTTCGTCTCGCCTTCCGGGCCGGAGTCCACGTGACTCGCCTTGTGCTTGGCTCGAGACTTTACAGGACATGGCTCGCAGTAGACACCAGTGGCGCGTCTGCTGCCGTCTCCTGTTGCTGAGTTATCTGCGGGGTAATGGCTGATTATGACGCGTGGCAGTGAAAGCCGCAATGAAGCAGCCTCGTGGATGCCGCCTTATCTTTGCCTGATAGCCAGCTGTTTGTGACGGTAAGTTGTCTACACAAGGTGTAGGCGCCTTGACACTGAATATTTGGTCAGGGCATTAAGATTTTCAGGTAAGTCCCCCTTCTCTCCCTCTTCTTATTCTTTATTTCATCGGCCCTCATAGTTGTATGGCAGAGAAGCATCAATTCAAACGGCTGCTGTCTATGCTGACGATGATGAGTGGGATCTATTCAGAGCGCCTGTGCTTGTGCCTCGTTTCTCCTTGTGACTGTGATGGCGAAAGCAGGGACCTCTGTGAGGTAGAACTTAAATTTATCCCAGGCAAACTGCACAGTATCGTCGTCTGAGATCTCACAATGGAAACCCGAAGCCTTGGCTCTGGTTGATTGATAGTCGGCGTGCCATATGTTCGGGCGAGACTCAACAGTACCATGGTAGCGTCTAGACAGAGTACAACTGAAGAGCAGACAAACATGATCACTGGAACCCAGTGGAGGTCGGTAAGCAATGTCACCAACAAAATCGAGTGACTTAGGAAATACAGGGTCTAAGACAGACGGTACTTGGGCGTCCATGTACCTAGTGGGGAGGTCAATGAACTGAGGCAAAGATACTTGGAGCGTAAGCCTAAGCAAATCAGCGCCGAATGTGCCTGACGCTGAGTCGCAAGAAAGATCTGCCCAGCAAATCTCTGGGAGGTTGAAGTCGCCCATCACCAAATACTTGTTTGCGGACTGGGAGCGAATGAAGTCAAGTACCGCTTTGGATACGCTTCCAGGGCTTCTATACACTATTACAACTGCAACCAGAGCCGAGGATGTGCTAATAACAGTCAACAGAGCTTTAACAGTTTTGTCTGCTGACTGAAATAAAACGTCGAAACGTCAAGTTTACAGCTCACATAAAGAGCGACGCCCTCTCCCTGTCGGCCAGCAGAGCAATCGTATCTAAATAGTGCGCAGCCAGATAGATGTACTTCACCATCCGTGATGTCCTGAGACAGCCACGTTTCAGTGAATGCGAGTATATCGGGATGAGACCCATCTACAAGCAGACCTAACTCGTACACCTTATTCCTTAGGCTGCGCACATTACTTAGCACTATCTGAAGGTATTCGTTAGATCCAGACCTGGGGCGTGCGCTACCAGAATTGGCAGTGGTAGGGCGGAAAAGGACCGCCGGCTGACCACCCGAAAACCCACTAACCGAAGACCTTGTTCACCGGCCGCTCGCCTAGTTTTGAGGTCCTTGATGGCCTCCCTTAGCTTCAGCCTATCGGCTAGCGGAAGGTCAGGCTGAACGCTAATATTTGTACCTTTCAGCTTAAATGCAAACCACATGAGAGCGCTGCGTTCTTCCGGAGTAGAGAGTACCACACGAAGTAGCCGCGGTCGGGAGTTTGGTACGTTAACTGGGACGTTCTCCAGTCTGCTCAGCTTCCTGACAGTAACGCCTGGAAAACCAGGCGAAAGAAGCTTTGTTACGCACATTTTAAACCATTGAAGGTCGTCCAACATGCGATCAGCAGGAAGCACAGCATTAGATTCAGCCGCGTTACGGAATATAACGCTACTATGCGTGAAAGAATCGCCACGACGGGGTGTATTAAACCCACGGGTCTTTGAATCGCTACTTGGAGCAGGTGGCTTCACTACTGGTAATGGAACTGCCTTTAGCCCCTCCGATGATGCAGCAACGGTAGCGTGTTTTTCGCTCCATTGTAGATGTCTTACTTTTGTCAGGGTCATCGATTTCACCGGAAGGCATTATAGCAGATTTTGTCTGCTATTTCTTCTTGATAACAGGAGCAGGGTCCCGTGACGATTTTTCGCTTTGATCAGAATCAAGCAAACCTTCAGAATATGTCTTCTCGGTGAGGACCAAGATTTCCGGCAACTTCGGCTGACAAGTAGCGCATGTTGGGATCTTCGCCTTCGCACAACCGTCAGACGGTTTGCCAAGTAACGACACTTCGCTTGTTTCCGGTGCCGAGACAACAACTTCTTGTTTAGCAGAGAGCTTACGAGGTTTCCTGGCTCTCTTTCGCTTTACTCGAAGTGACCTTTGAACCAGCAATTCGGCGTCGATCAGGGTAGGTTTACATACGACGTCCGAAGCTGCTTCATTTTGGTGGTCGGTAGCCATCTGGACGGGTGACATAATGATAAGTGCCACAAGTTGATCATCAGTGTGAGCGATCAAATCTGCGTTGTTGGAGACCGGAAGCGTCGTCATAAGCAGATCAATCTTAAAGCGAATATCTGAGAGCATCGAGAAGGAACGCTCTACATTTCGCAGCCGGGTATCAATAGATTCGTCTCTCGTACGAAAGGCTGTGCAGCCTGGCCGGCGGCTGCAGCAATTGGCACAACTGAAAAGCAACGTTTCGCTAGAGGCCAGCGCTGCGTACTGCTCGGTATTTAGCTCCGTACAAAGCTGATAGTACCTTTGGTTGCAGACATCGCATTGCATACCGCCGGAATCGTCAGTTACTGGTATATTGCAACTTAGGCCGCCACAAAGTGCGATAACCTCAGAATCCGAGCCATCAGGAACAACAGCCTCGGTGCACTGCGAGACCGACATAGTGGAAAACAGAGTGATTATAATACGTATGCAATAGTTAAACGACCTCATAAAAGTCAAAAACGGGGTGCAAAACGGGGTTAAAACAGGGAAAAACTGGAAAAATTACCAGTAAGCGCCAAAGACGCTTTGACTAGAACCGCTTTAATCGATCCAAGATATCTTGGATCAGAGGAAATTTGACAATAGTCAAATTTCGTTTCAAGTGTTTATTCAAACACTGTTTTCCACGTTAATTCAACTAAAAATCTCGATCCTGTACTCGTCCTGTACTGCAGAGCTCTCGGTTGACAAGTATTTCTTCGTGCTACCTCTGGTTTACGTCCTTTATCATTTTCCAATGGCTTCCAGATGTGTCTCCTGTAGTAAAAGTGTCACTCACCGATCGAAGGCCGTACAGTGCTCTTTGTGTGATGGTTGGATTCATGCTGCTTGCTGTGGTATCAGTCCGGGCCTATATGGACATCTACAACGGACACCGTCTCAAGCTATCGCTTTCTTTTGTGACTCATGCAGAGTAACAACCAGTGACAGACGTGTACTTGCCGGTTTACCAGCGCTTAGTCCACGTCCCTCTCTTCATCACACTGCGCTGATTGCTTCCCCGGACTTAGTTTTACCTGTGGGTCCTTCTTCCCCCTGTTCTGGATTCGTAACTCCTATCGGTAAGCAAAGTCGTGGCACGTCTCCCTCAGTACATCTTTCTGCTCGGCATGCCGAGCCTGCGGTCAGGACCTATGCATCTGTGGTGAGAGGACTCGCAGCGCCGTCAGGCAGTCACAACTCAGCTATGCGAGAAGCGAAGCCAAAAGCAAAATCTAGTATCAAAGCCAAGCCCTCTTCTCAATTGGAGTTTAACAAAGTTCTTGATAGACTTACTCAGTTGGAGAACTTGGTTAAGGACACATCGATTTCTCCTAAGCAACAGACATCTAGGGACTCCCATCGTCCCTCTCGTGACCGCTGCCTTATAGTGGTAAATGCGCCGGAGTCTTCTAAATCTACGCCAGCTGAAAGGATCCTAGATGATGAAGCGTTTTTAATAAGGATGATTTCACTGTTGTTTGATGAAGGTGAACCGGGGATAAATGTTGTTTCTGCCTTTCGCATTGGCAGGAAGCAGGAGGACTCTACAAAGTCTCGTCCTCTCAAGATCGTATGCCAAAACGAGGATGAATGCAGGCGCATCCTCCGACGCACTTCACGTCTCAAAGGAGAATCGTTTTATGTTCTGAGAGATCTGTCCCCTGAAGATCGGATAAAAATGAAGAGTGCGGTTGGTGAACTTCGAACCCGCCGGGCAAATGGTGAGACGGACCTTCACATTGTGGATTTTCGAGTGGTTCCGAAAACTCCGAGAACTCGCTGGAGACCCATCCTTGTCCTACCCGGACAGTGAGGTCGAAGACCGGTTTGAGTGTGTTGTCCGCTAATGTGCGCAGTTTGCGGAACAAATTGGACGAGATTCAACTTCTTGCCATGGATAATCACCCTGATTTGATGGCTTTCTCTGAGACCTGGCTGTCCCCGAACATCCGTGACTCGGAAGTATATATCCCTGGATATCACTTCTCCCGAGCTGATCGCCACGGAGTGAGGTCAGGCGGGGGCGTTATACTCTATTGGAGGACGAACCTCAAGGCACATTTGCTTGATGCTACTTGTGATATAGATGGTGGCTTCGAAGCTCTGTGGTGTCGTATTCATGACGGGTGCAGATCTCTCCTGGTCTGTGTCGCCTATAGATCTCCCTTGGGTTCGGGAGCTCTTTTACTGGATTCAATTAAATCGCACGCCAAAGGTAAGAACTGCTTAATTGTTGGAGACTTCAATGCACCTGGCATTGACTGGGACCTGCTTTATTGTGGTCTTCCTTTTGACTCTTTTGATGCCCTTCTCCTTCAGACCGTTCTCGATTGTAACTTGTCTCAGCATGTATTTTCACCCACTCGGTTGTTCTC